ACACGGGCCAGGGAGATGGAGGCTCGCAGCCCTCGGGGCTCCTCACCGCCTGGCTGCCCAGGCGCGCAGTGGCTGGGGATTGGGGTACACGGATGTCAATGATTTGGAGACGGGTGCGCAGCGGGCGCAGTGGTTTGGAGGTTGGGGCGCGCAGGTTGCTCGTGGTAGTTGGGAGATTGGGTGCACGCCGGAGTTGAGTAGTTTGGAGAACGGGGGCACCGTTGCTGAACTTCCCCCGCCCGTTGGTCTAGTTGTGGACAGACCCCTCCCCCCGGGATCCCGGTCCGCCCGGGGTCCCCATCACCCCCCGTCCGCCCGGGCTCCCCGTCCTCCTCGGCCCCGGCTCCCCGGGCTCCCCGTCCTCCTCGGCCCCGGCTCCCCGGGCTCCCCGTCCTCCTCGGCCCCGGCACCCCGGGCTCCCCGTCCTCCTCGGCCCCGGCACCCCGGGCTCCCCGTCCTCCACCCCGGGCTCTCTGTCCTCCACGGCCCCGGCTCCCCGGGCTCCCCGTCCTCCACCCCGGGCTCCCCGTCCTCCTGGCCCCGGCTCCCCGGGCTCCCCGGGCTCCCCGTCCTCCACCCCGGGCTCCCCGTCCTCCTCGGCCCCGGCTCCCCGGGCCCCCAGTCACCCCCCCACCCCGCAGGAACTGCATCGGGCAGACCTTCGCGCTGAGCGAGATGAAGGTGGCGCTGGCGCTGACGCTGCTGCGCTTCCGCGTGCTGCCCGCAGGGGGCGCCGCGGGGCCCGAGCCGCGCCGGAAGCCGGAGCTCATCCTGCGCGCCGAGGGCGGCCTGTGGCTGCGCGCGCAGCCCCTGGACTGACCGCGCCCCGCCCTCCCCCTGCCCGGGCAGACCCCAATAAAGCTGCGCCCAGTCGTGTCTGAGCCTCTTTGGGTGGGAGGTGCGAGCTGGGGTCCGCGCCGCAGCCCGGCGGCCTGGCCTCTCACGTCTGTGCGCCCGGCCCGAGCCCCGGGGCCCCTCCTGAGATCCGCGTCTGGGGCTCCGTGCAGCTGCGGCCCACCGGAGGCCTCGCCCCCCCCAGCCCGCCCCGCAGGAGCGGCGCGGTGAGTGCGCCTGCGCACCGGCCCGGCCCGGCCCCCCGAAAATCCACACCTGTCTGCCCGGCGACGTGACGGGCCGCCGACGGGCCAGACTCAGGCCTGACCTCGGGGCCGGGCACCCGGCCGGCTCTGAACCGCGATCCTCAGATCTCAGCCTCCCAGTAGCTGGGATGACAGGCGAGAGCCCTGGGCATCTGGCCCCGGATTTTACTCGTTTATTTATTCATTGATTCATTTATTTTTGCCGGTCCTGGTTCTTGAACTCTGGGCCTGGGCGCTGTCCCTCAGCTCTTCAGCTCAAGGCGAGCGCTCTACCACTTGAGCCACAGCGCCACTTCCAGCCTTTTCTGCTTATGTGGTGCTGAGGAATCAAACCCAGGGCCTCATGTATGCAAGGCAAGCGCTCTACCACTGAGCCACCTTCCCAGCCCCTTCCAGCTTTTTCTGGGTGGTTTATTAGAGTTAAGAGTCTTACGGACTTTCCTGCCCAGGCTGTCTTTGAACCACAATCCTCAGATCACAGCTTCCTGAGTAGCTAGGATGACAGGCATGAGCCACCGGCGCCCGGCTCTGAGATTTTATTTATTTATTTATTTATTTTTGGGTCCAGTTATGGGGCCTGAACTCTGGGCCTGGGCGCTGTCCCTCAGCTCTTCAGCTCAAGGCTAGCGCTCTACCACTTGAGCCACAGCGCCACTTCCAGCTTTTTCCT